CCATCTCCAGATAAAGCCAAACACCCATTCACAGGGTGCCCCGGACACAGACCAGGAAACCTTCGGAGAGGAAGCGAGAGTTCTACATCCACCCGCAAGTATATATTATAGTGTTTCACCTTCACTCTTCTTATGTTGAAATAAAAGTATACTGTATGATGGACTCGTGCACAAGTTATCCACGCGATCGTCAAAAAGAAAGAAAGAAAAATAAGGAAGTGTATATACAAATCAACAAATTATTAAACAATATCAGGAAAATTAATAGGGCGTAGATAATAATGTTCCAGTAGAGTGTTGTTGGAGTCTGCCTCAGGTGTGTTGGTGGACTGTTGTTTGTCTGTTAATTGATTTTGAACCTCAGTCGTCATTTTATTTGTTTTGGTGAGTCCTTGCACAGAAGTTTTATGAATGCGGAAAAGCCACTGTATTTTTTATTTTTTTTTTACTGGTTGCCTGATTCAAGTGGTTGATGGTGGTGGTAGTGGTGGTTTGGTTCAAGTGGTGGTGGTGGTAGTTTGGTTCAGGTGGTTAATGGTGGTGGTGGTGGTTGTCAGTTCAGGTGGTTAATGGTGGTGGTGGTGGTAGTTTGGTTCAGGTGGTTAATGGTGGTGGTGGTGGTTGTCGGTTCAGGTGGTTAATGGTGGTGGTGGTGGTTGTCAGTTCAGGTGGTAGTTTGGTTCAGGTGGTTAATGTTGGTGGTGGTGGTTATCAGTTCAGGTGGTTAATGGTGGTGGTGGTAGTTTGGTTCAGGTGGTTAATGGTGGTGGTTGTCAGTTCAGGTGGTTAATGGTGGTGGTGGTGCTTGTCTGTTCAGGTGGTTAATGGTGGTGGTGGTGGTTGTCAGTTCAGGTGGTTAATGGTGGTGGTGGTAGTTTGGTTAAGGTGGTTAATGGTAGTGGTGGTGGTTGTCAGTTCAGGTGGTTAATGGTGGTGGTGGTAGTTTGGTTCAGGTGGTTATGTAGTGGTTAACTTAACTTGTGTAGCCAGACAATAAGGGATGGTTGACAGTAATGTAAAAAATATTAAGCTGGATTATTGGCCACATGTCCATTGTCATATGACTTACATGCAAAGAATACACTGGGCAGGCGGGGCGTGTGGCTAGTGCGATAAAGTCATATTCTTGGCCGTGTCAAACCACAAAAGTGGGGTAATTGCATGACAGTGCAGTTAGGCGTCATGAGAAGATTACATATGTTTCAATAACAAAACGTCTTCATATATACATATAAGTATCATAAAAATGATAAGTAAATCGAAATTGTATTCATTATCTTCCTTTGTGGATTTCCAATATCGAAGAGAAGTTTTCTCCAGTACAGGTATCTGAAAACTAACTTTGTTGGTTGTTGTCGCTGCAAACGGTAACATTACATGTTGAGTATATATTGAGGCCAGTAATCCTTCTCGGTGTACTATTGTGCTCTTTTTTCCGAAGTGTTTTCTTGTTTTTTGAGAATTCTGTAATCATAAATATACGTAAGTGGTAGAGTTTTGTTAGCTTTGCAACCAAGGAAAAGAGTCGATAATATCGTGCTCATACTTTCTTTCCTAATAATGGAAGAGAGATTACACGACAGTTGACACGTTTTCAGTGACCTTTCTGCTGATCATTATGCCATGAACATCGCCGCCAGCTCGTGATAGGGAAGGTGAGGTAGTACAAGCTGCGTCTGGTGCCGAAGGTGAGACGGCGGGGAAGGTGAGGCAGTATAAGCGCGTCTGGTGCCGAAGGTGAGACGGCGGGGAAGGTGAGGCAGTGCGTCTGGTGCCGAAGGTGAGACGGCGGGGAAGGTGAGGTAGTACAAGCTGCGTCTGGTGCCGAAGGTGAGACGGCGGGGAAGGTGAGGCAGTATAAGCGCGTCTGGTGCCGAAGGTGAGACGGCGGGGAAGGTGAGGCAGTACAAGCTGCGTCTGGTGCCGAAGGTGAGACGGCGTTAAATTTATATAACGCGACAATACGAAAGACATCACATGAGAAGAGACTAGAGAATACGTGTTTACTGATACTGTTGTTCCGCCCCTCACTGTGGAGAAACTCAGGAAGAACAACGCCAAGACTCGTCCTTCCTCGTTGAGTATAAATTGTGGTCAAAATCCTTCAATACTCTAGTAGTCAATTCAGTTTGAAAAGTAATTTTCCTACTTTAACTTCACGATGTAGAAATTAAGTAAAGAATCTATAGAGTAAGTAAAAAATTGATCAATGCCATGGATGTAGTTGATGTACAATAAATATAGTTGACGTCACATGTAATTAGCTTACTTGACATTCTATATGAGTATTACAGTGCATTTGTTACGCCATTTGTGAGAGTTAATAGCGGTAATGGTTTGCTGCGGAGCCAGTCTTAATGGGTTAAAATAGATCCCAATGTAGCAGTCATGGTGCAGCATATCCTCAGGGCCACTACAATAAGCACTAGGCATTTGGACCACATTGGTTGGGTAAGAGAAATGAGAGAGGAGAAATATTAATTGACTTTTGTAAGGAAAAGAAGATGATAAGTGCAGATGCATGTGGTTTGAACAACACTCTGGGCATCTTTACACTTGGGTCTCGCCCCAGGAGAATGTAAACAACATTTTCAGAAATCAAACAAATTACAGTTTAATTCAGGAAAGATTCAGAAATTCAATAACCCGAACCAAGACCTATCCAGGTTTTATATGACAAGGACTGATGTATGGGTCAGAAGCGTGGGCACTTTCAGCAGACACCAGAAAGCAGTTGGAGGTCTTTGACATGTGTTATAGGTGAATACTAAGAATAAGCTAAACTGATAGGAAAACAAACGAAGCTATACAAAGATAACTACAAACATCAACAGAAATACTTGAAATGTACAGAAAAAAAGAAGATAATTTGGTCGCATAATTAGGGATGAGGGAAAAAAAACCACAGATATTTATAGGCAAAGTTGAAGGTAGGAGGGTCAGGGGACGGGTGAATGAAAGTAAATACTGGGTCCTCAAGAGAGATACAAAACCTTGGAGGATAAGTACAGAAAGCCCGAAAACATTTAAAGTGGAGGACTGTGGTCACTCTGATTGATACTTTTAGTGATACGTCTATTCTATTTCTTAAAATCTATTTACCTATTGTATGTAGTGTCGAGATGGTCTTAAAGAACCGTAATGCTGCATGGGAAAGATTGCAACCATTTTTGAGCAAACAGGAGGAGATGCTCTGCGCGTCTTAACAAAATATTTCCCATATTAGAATGTAAAAGATAATGAACCCATAATGCGCAAATTGCTTCCCTATTTGAATTAAATAGTTATATGTAGAGTACTGTTTTCTGTGCAACGATATTATTTCATTCGAATAAAATATCCTTGTATATAATATAAAGACTTATATATATATTTTTTTTATGAAGAAAGGAGAATTAAGCTTATTTCTTGATATGTGTATATTTGAGAAGTTTTGTAAAATATAAATGCTTATATACTGTATTCTGTCCACATAACAGTTCATCACATTCAGTAAGCTCGACTATATTCAAATCAAGAAACTTCTAAATATAGTCTCAAATATAATGTTGTCAATTCCTCACAGTATTTAAACTAATATTGAATATTTTTATCTATAGTGTCGCGCCATTATTGGTTTCTCCTCTGCTGGAATTATTCTCAAATAATGTTGTTGTTGTTGTTGTTGTTTTTTTAAAGATGGATTTTTAAATATGAAAATTTTCTACTGAAAATTCCTATATTTTTACGGCATCAGAACAGGTGCTTAGCCTCACACATGTCATCCCACCATAGGATAAAATTTCATATAAAAGTAATATAGCAGAAACAGTGGAGAAATCCTTTTAGTTCAGGTAATAAGAGCTACTCAATGCAAAGAAAATTCCTCTCTGTAGTTTATTTCTTAAACCTAGTTGATGTACTCAGTTGTACTGTATTCCCACAGACTAGTGTGGATATATATATGTATATAATATGCCGTATTTAAAACCAACACAACATCTATTTTCTGTTCATGTGACTCAACTCAGACATTATTATTATTATTTATTTGTATGTGTGTTTTCATCCCAAGCAAGGCACCTTCAACCTCTTCCCTGCTTGTGTTCGATTCTTTCTTTATTCAGTGATGAATTATATGTACTGTAATTGAAAGCCTGTTTTCATGATATTTCTTTCAAGACTAAAGAAAATAATCTTACATTATATGTACATTGCATTTTATTTTATTTTCTAATATATAAGGAAATTATGAATAGTAAGTTTCAATAATAGTTAGATAATTCGTATATTTCCGTATGTTAGTTATATAATGTGATATACCGTGTACATTTTCTCAGGGGCAAAAATATACAGCATTGTCATGTTCACTCTTAAGTTGACCTAGAGAGTTGCATATCTAACAATTCTTTAATATCGTTTGACTAGTGTAATTTCTATCCTTGTTAGGCGCTTAAAGGTCTTCATTGTTGAAGAGCAGTAATAACATTATATCAACAACAGATCTTGAGTTTTTCATGGTAGAATAGTAATACAATTTTGTTCATCGAGTCATGAAGGTAGAAAATCTTGTAAAAGAAAATGAAACAAAATTTTTTATTTTTTTCTGAAAGACACCAATTAAATTTCAAACACGAAATGCATTGAATAATTTACAAATAACAAATTAAATAAGAGTTAATTGATACGTGTATAAAGGTGGGTGACAAGGCTGCTGTACGGTAAGTCTGAAGCTTTAATAATATAATTTCCTCCACTGGAGTAAAGAGAAATTTCCTTGAACGTAATTTCTTTCTTGATTAATAATACTGTCGTTCCTAGTTGAGGCTTGTGGTTTAACAAAGACCTTACGACGTCATCCTTATTGAAGCTTTGGAGGGATGTGAGGCTACTATATAAGACCAACTTCACAC